ATATTTGTAAAGTTTTCTTTTTCCACGTCAAGTTTGCTACTCTAATGAATCTATCACTACTATGATTATATGATTTATACATGTTTCTATGTCAGTTCAATCGCGCAAGATAGGTCAGAGGCGTAAAAGTCGATCGATCGATCGTGGACAATTCGTACCTTCGTTGAAAGAAGCAGCAGGAACGCACCACGCAGTAACGCATACCGACAAGAACAAAATAAATACAGCTTTCATGGTGCGGGACGTTCTCGACCGTGGTCGTTGCAAAATTGGACTGGACTTTCGGTGAACTATCGGGACTATTATCGACTTCCATCCTTTATTAACTCTCTGACATAGTTCACTTGTCATTCGACTCGTTATCGATGTTAATTTATAACTTTACATTTTGTACGTCACGCGATGCACCATCTAACGGAAAATTGCGTCGAACTTATATTTTGCAAGTTTAGTTTTCCATTTATCGCGGTAAATTGGCGCTTATCGGGGGACTACCAGCCCCCTAGCTTCGCTCACCTCGTGATGACACATAACGAAATGGAAGCAAGGCGGGCCGAAACTAATTGTTCGGTATTATCATACAACATTACACAAACAATTACGTCATTTCCATTTATTTTAAATTGTTTTCTACTCTAGTATACGCCACGTATTTCAAAAAAGTGTCCCGCTGTAGAACGTTATTTTTTTTTCTATAGCTACTTCGAGGGGTTTTTCTTTTTTAATACATAAGATGTTACATCAAATTAATATATGTATATATATATATATATCAATTATCGGGGAATATTTTAATATTCATTCGTGAAGAATCTCTTTATCACAGTTATTTTGTTAATTTTTATAAATAAAGGTCATTAAGAAAATTTCCAACTTTGAAGCTTGCACATTGATCTCCTTGCTTTGAATCATAGACAAAATCTGTTGGCATGGGTGAAGAACACTATTTTCGAACTGTTCTTCAGCTTAGTTGTTTAATTTATATATTTTTTTTCTGGCTTTTACTTGACGAATTTTGTTATTAACGAATACGTATGTGTGCGGCAAATTGGTGAATAAAAAAAATTTTATGACTTCTTCGACTAAGACGTAAGTGCGACGAACGATCGATAAAATCAATTCACTCTTTCTCTGTCTTTCTACAAGATGTATCATTCACGTGGGAATGCCATCAGCGATTTCCGATTTATTTTTCATCAACGAGAAGCACGAAGATATCGGTGATTACGAGGAAAATTAGTGTTTGCCAATTTGAGCAAACATGGCGAGTACAGAGAAATCGACTTGAACTGCTGAAATAATGCTTGCTTTTTCTTTGCAGGAGGCATACACTGAATCATAATTATTGTATCGATTAATATTTTACAAGTTAAAAGTTAGATCGAAAAATTCTTTTATTTGACAGCTAAATAACGAAATAACCCAGAGGAGGATCGTTTTACTTGCTCAGTTGAACTAACATATAATTATTTTAAAATAAAGTAATGTACCATTTAACTGGTTATATTTCAAGCGATGGTCAAATTTGTAATAAATAATATAATATATTATCGTTTGTGTTTTTAATTTTAACAGATTACTTTAGATTTACAGACTCATGACTTCTCCATAGAAATTGTATTAATAATATTTTTCTTACATCTTTAGATTGTATTAATAAAAAATTATATTAATAATATTTGATTGTATTAATAAAAAATTGTATTAATAATATTTTCTTTACTACTTTATATTTACAGACTCATGACTTCTCCATAGAAATTGTATTAATAATATTTTTCTTACATCTCTTCATTGCACTGTTGTCACCAAAGTGTAGAGATCCGTACAAATAGTAAGAACTGTACTTGGCGACAAGAAATAAATGAAAAGCACACTCAATACGATAAAGAGCACAATGTCTAACCTTTGTCGTAAACTTTCTTTCGTTCACTACTGACACACACGCGAACTTGGATCGCACGAAAGTGCAAGACGATGGTGACGGTGATACAGAACTGAAAGAAGAATTATCGTGACGTTTCGTTAAAACGGTGTGAATATTATCGCGATCGATTTCCATTTCCACGTAACATTGTTGTGGTTTAGTCGACACCACTAGGGCTAGGCAACTATCGCGTCGAAGGAGGACACAGATTAATTGAACGCGTCTCATCTGATACGATCAGTCAGCTGTCCATTTTCTCGACGAGACGGGTTCTCTCCCATTACCAGATTCTCTCTACCTCTAAACTGCCTTTGTGATCTACAGCGATTTACATCCTACAATTATCGGACGATTTTGTGAATCATCATCTAGTCTGATGAATTTAAATAGACGACCGCACGTTTAGGGTTGGATAATCGGGAGAATGGTATCAGTCGCGTGACGACTGCCAACCAGT